GGAATACAGGGATGAATAAGAGATGGCATATGACTGAAAAGAACTTTCATTTCATTTCATTTCATTTATTTATTTATTTATTTATTTATTTATTTATTTATTTATTTATTTTTAAAGATTGTATTATTGAGGGAGAGCACACATGAGAAAGAGAGCGCAAGAGAGAGAACAAGAGCGGTTGGGGGGGGGGGTGTTGCAGAGGGAGAGGGAGAAGCAGACTCTCCGCTGAGCAAGGAGCCGGACACAGGGCTTGATCCCAGGACCCAGGGATCATGACCTGAGCCGAAGGCAGATGCTCAATCAACTGAGCCACCCAGGCGCCCCAAGAACTTTCATTTTAAAGGTAAAGATTCATATTTGCAATATTGTGTGACCACTCCCAAAATATGCAAGTTTGTTTAAGGTAAAATCGTGGCACAGAAAGAAGGTTATCAGTTGTGTGTGGCAGGTGGACGGTGAGGGTCCAGGTTGGCTTCATAGAGCTGATGATGCTTGGGCGGTGAGCTGAGAAAGATGGGGGTGGTAGTTGCTGGTCGTTGCTGAAGAGCATCCCAAGCCTGGAGTAGTGGAACATAGTGTAATGTGGTGGGAAACGGGCTTAGAGGGTGTGGGGGACCAGTAGCAGACGAAGTTAGGCAGGTCAGATCATGGGTAACCTTGTGGTTTTTGAATTTTAGGGTGGGGGTGATGGGAGCCATTGAAGGATTTCAAACAGGAAAGAGACACGACCGTATTTACATTTATCAAGATGACTGAGGCAGCATGCAGATGGAGGACGGAGTCATGGGGGCCACGCTGGAAACTGGGAAGCAGTTAGGAGATCCATAATAACCATGGTTTCTTTTCTATATTAGCTCGGTAGAGCTGCCATAACGAAATACCACAGATTGGGTGGTTTAAACAACAGAACTTTATTTTCTTTCTTTTTTTTTTTTTAAGATTTATTTATTTGAGAGAGCGAGAATGAGAGAGAGAGGGTACATGAGAGGGGAGAGGGTCAGAGGGAGAAGCAGGCTCCTCGCAGAGCAGGGAGCCCGATGCGGGACTCGATCCCGGGACTCCAGGATCATGACCTGAGCCGAAGGCAGTCGCTTAACCAACTGAGCCACCCAGGCGCCCCAGAAATTTATTTTCTTATAGTTCTGGAAGTGAAAAGTCCAAGATCAAGGTATCAGCAGGTTTGGCTTCTCCTGAGGCCTCTCTCTTTGGCTTGCAGATGGCTGTCTTCCCTGTGTGTGTGCCTCCCTACTGTCTGTGTGTCCAAATCTCCTTTTCTTATAAGGACACCAGTTATATCAG